CACACACACACACACACACACACACACACACACACACACACACACACACACACACACACACACACACACACACACACACACACACACACATACACGATGCACGTTTCCAACAGGTGATTGCGGACGTGTTTGGGTGCGACGTGTATGCATCTGCACAATCAGACTCCGCCTCGCTTGGCGCAGCGTATCGCGCCAAGCACGCCGACGTGTGCAACCTCCACGGCCAGTTTGTCCCCTTCCAAAGCGCAATCCTCGACCTGGCCTGCCGGCCCAACAGCGACAGTGCGGGCAAGACTGAGGACCGCAGCCATCTACACGCCTGCGACCCTCGCAGCGCCCAGCACAAGGTCACTTCCGCTCTGCGTGTGTGTGTGTGTGTGTGTGACTTGAGATTTTATGTCTCCATGATCCCCTCCCCCCCCCCCACCCACACACACACTCTCTCTTTTGTCTCGGCAACGCTCACAACTTCTGGTTTGCGTGTATTGATGCAGATTGCCACGCCAAACATGGGCAACTTTGATGCATATACAAGCATGCTGTCAAGGTATGCATGCGCGTATTTATGCATGTATGTGCGCACAAGACGGATGCACTGTCAAACGGTGGCGACCATGGCGTGTTTGTGTGTGTCAACAGTTGTGACTGCTGCAGGCAGTGCGTGTGGCCATTGTGGTGCGGTGGCACCCATGGCGGGCGTTCCGGTGTCGTCCATCCGTGTTTGACAGACATCCTTCCTGCCCCGGTGTGTTTGATAGGTACGCGGAGCTTGAGGCCAAGGTTGTGCAAGAAGCAGCAGCAAGAGATGGCGCTTCTTGAGACCCCGCCAGGGCTGCAGGGGGACATTCGCAAAGCATGTGGAGCTGTTGTTACATTGCCCCATTCACATCGTTGTAGCGCGCACCCTGAAATGAACACGTTCATCAACAAAGAGCAATCGTCGTGAGAGCGGTAAGAGTGGCGAGGCGACGTCAACGTGTGGTCGAGATACGATGCAAAGTGGCAGAAGTTTCAGTTCAACGCATGGCACGAGATGTGAGCATACAGCGCACAACATGTGCACGCACCTTCGCTGTGGGAAGCAAAAAAAAAAAACTGCTCCAGCACAGGCCTCATGGCTAAGTGCCGTCATGCTAGAGGCATGCTATCGTTTGCGACGATTCAAAGCCGGATCATGTCATCTGCGGAGCACATCATGACAAGACGTGACTTCTGGTGAGTTGAGAACCAAGAATAGATGTGAGACAGCAGAGAAACTCACAAAGGAGACTGGTGGAAACAACAGGGAGAAAGGAGAGAGAGAGAGCTACAGCCACACAGCCGCACAGCCGCACAGCCACACGCGTGGCTGAGCATTGTTACAAGGGGAAGAAGGAAGAGAGGAGGTGTTTAGATGGAATGTTGGTGTAGTTCAAAACAACAAGATCACGAGTGCGTGAGCTGCCAACGACTGGTTGAAAGCCCACGCATCCCTTGCTGTAGTACTCTACACCAGGTGCTAGAATTTTAGTCTTGCTGCAAGTATGAGCACCCGAGTCGATTGGTTGCTTGTTGGGGGGCGCTGTGGCGCAGGACCGGCCGCTTTGCGACCAACCCAAAACACGCACACAGAACACCCCCACAACCCAACACGCATGTGTAATTCATGCAGCTGAAAAGGGCAAGGAAAGAGAAGAAAGGGGAGAGAGGGAACGATCGTAGAAAGGGGAGAGAGAGGGACGGTTGACAAGCAGGGATGGACAGAAAGAGGAAGAAGAGCAGAGCAGAACGGGGATGAAGGGGAAGGAGAGGAACAAACGACAACCAACCCATGTGCCCGTGTCGTGTTCACCGATGTGATGATGAACACCACCACCACCTTCATATCCACATCAACACACCTTCGTCTTGCTTGTTGTGAGCACGCGAGCGGATGAAACGAAAAATGGTGAATGATGGCATACGAAAAAGTGAAAATGACGCGATCGCTCGATTTTCGTCCGGCCTAGTGGCGTACGCTGCAACGAGGACACGCTTGTCGCACACAACCTGACAACAAGCACGATCGACGCAACACAACACAACCACCCGCCAGCATCTCACGACGCAGCAGCGAAGGTTGGTCTTTGCTCGCTCGCTTGCTTGCTTGCTTGCTTGCTTGCTTTTTGCCTTCTCCTGGTCCTTGGCCTGACAAAACCCAACTCCACCCCAACGTGCCCAACCAGCCAACATCCAACCTTTCCCTGACCTGACATGCGTGCTTTTGTCGCTTGTTGATACGCAGTCCTGTGCTCGCCTGGTTTTTGTTGTTGGCTGTGCAAACTCGCTCGCTCGCTCGCTCGATCGTTGCTTGCTTTTTTCTTCAGCCCTTCTTCTTCACTGTTGTTGCGAACGACTTGTTATCGCCTGCGACCCTGCAGTCAATTTCACTTGACGACACTCCACCACCCAGCACACACACACATACGCATACACTTACACACATACACACACACACATACACAAGCAAGCGAATCCTCCTCTTCCCCCTCCCCCTTTCCTTTACTCGCTCCACTCGCTCACGCTACGCGCCAACACCTTTTGTTCACACCCCCCCCCACCTCGTCAACGAACGCCGTTCAAGAACATCCCCCCCCCCCCACCTCTGTGCCGGCACCATGAAGTCTGAGTCGGCCAGCCTGGAGATTGACCTCATGTCTGAGGAAGGGACACTGATGCGGTCGCGGTCGTCCAAGACAACCGGCTCCTCGTCCTCATCGCCCGTCAATGCGAAGAAGTACCTCATCCTGGGCTACTCTGCCGTGGCCCTGGTCATCATCATCTGCGGCATTGCCGTCGGCGTCTCCCTGCACAACAGCAGCGACCCCGACGCCGCCAGCATGACCCAGATGAGCGCCACCTCCGCCTCCCTCTGTGGCATCGTCGCCCCAACTACCGAAGACTCGTCCACGCCCGTCGTCTGCTACACCCTGCACACAAACACCCCGGGCGGAAACTACCGCGTCGTCTCAAGCTCAATCACGCACGCCTGCGCCCTCTCCACCTTGGACACCGCCGTGTGCTGGGGCGCCGCCTGCGACGACGACCACCCCTCGTGCCCTGCCGAGCTCAAGGCAAGCAAGCCCGTGTGGGACCGCAGCGACGAGCAGTTCACCGCCGTCGCCGTCGGCGACTACTCCACCTGCTTCCTGCGCAAGGCTGACGGAACTGCCATGTGCCGCGGTCGCATCAGCGTGCCCGCATCCGCGGCAGCCACCGAGTTTGTCGACATCACCATCGAGAACGACGTCGCCTGCGGCCTCACCGCCACCTCCCAGCTCGTCTGCTGGGACCAGGACAACACCGTCTTCAACATCCCCGCCCTCAGCGACGGCATCCTGCAGGTCGCCGCCAGCTTCACGCCCCCAGAGCCCCCTATGATCACAGACCCCTTCCTCACCTCGGACAGCAGCGAGAGCCAGCGTCGCCGCCGCCGCCGCCGCAACATCCTCGAGCCGCAGCCGGCCACGCTCGCCGCCGAGGACCAGCGCATCGCCTGCGCCATCTCCCTCACCCACAAGCTCTACTGCATCAACCTGCAGCCGGCATCGAGCACGGCCACCCCGACCTGGTCCCGCATCCTGCGCTCCTCCACCGCCGCCGGGTTTGAGATGGTGGACGTGTACGGCGGCCGCGGCTGCGCGCTCACCCTCGCCGGCCGCATCGAGTGCTTCGAGCTTGCCTCCTACGTGGACCCGCTCCCCGCCATGCCCGCAGAGCTCGCCGACGTGCGCTTTGGTGCCGTCGATGTCACGCAGAGCGCCGCGTGCGGCCTGTCCACGGACAACAGCCTCTACTGCTGGGGCGACATCTGGACCTTTGGCCAGGTCAAGATCCCCAAGCGGCCCCTTGTGCCCTCCGGGTCCTCGGTCACGGCCCCACCCACCAGCGGCAACAACACCAGCAACGCGACGGCCGCCCCAGGCGCCTTTGAGTGCCCGAGTGGCACGCGCCGCCTCCGCGACGGATCCTGCGAGGACGTCAACGAGTGCGCTGCTGGCACGCACGCCTGCCCGCGCTTCAGCTTCTGCGAAAACACGTACGGCAGCTACGAGTGCCCCTGCTTCCCCGGCTACGCCAAGGAGAGCGCGGGCTCGGAGACGTGCGTGGACATTGACGAGTGCGCGCTGGACACGCACGACTGCCACGTCAACGCCACCTGCGTCAACTGGCGCGGCAGCTTCTGGTGCACGTGCAACATCGGCTTTGAGGGCACGGGTACGGAGTGCGTCGACATTGACGAGTGCGACCGCGACACACACAACTGCCACGAGCAGGCCACCTGCAGCAACACCATCGGCAGCTTCGACTGCACCTGCAACCAGGGCTGGGCAGGCAACGGCACCTACTGCGGCGACGTGGACGAGTGCACCATGGGCACCCACAACTGCGATGCCAACGCCGCCTGCAGCAACACCATTGGCGGCTTCAACTGCACCTGCAACGCAAACTACTACGGCAACGGCACGTTCTGCGACGCGGACCAGTGCCACTTCAACACGCACACCTGCGACGCCAACGCCTACTGCACAGACACGGTGCCCGGCTTCAACTGCACGTGCAACGACGGCTACCTCGGCGACGGGTTCACCTGCGCAGACTACGACGAGTGCACCGCCGGCACGCACAACTGCGATGCGCATGCCACGTGCTCCGACACCGTGGGCAGCTTCGACTGCACGTGCAACGTCAACTACCTCGGCAACGGCACGTACTGCGACCTTGACGAGTGCGCCGCGGGCGTCGACAACTGCCACGAGCAGGCCACCTGCACCAACACCGATCCGGGCTTCTACTGCACGTGCAACGCGGGCTGGGATGGCTCTGGCGTGAACTGCAGCGACGTGGACGAGTGCGACCTCAACACGTACAACTGCCGCGCCAACTCCTACTGCAACAACACCATCGGCAGCTACGAGTGCCCCTGCCTCGACTACTACCGCGACACGGGCCCCGCCTGCGTGGACATTGACGAGTGCGGCGAGTCCAAGGACCACTGCCCGATTGACGTTGCCTGCAGCAACACGGACGGCTACTTCTCGTGCGGGTGCAGCAACCAGGACCAGTCGTTCTCCTACCCCGCGGACGTGGACTCCTTTGTTGGCCTCACGCGCGCCAGCGGGCTGCCCGTCTTTCTCGTCTCGGGCTTCAACGCGTCGGGGTACTCGGCGCATCTGCTGTGGTGCGACGACCACGACTGCGCCAACCCGACCGTGTTTGAGTCACCGGTGCTGTTTGACGAGGCGCCGCACGCCAACATCCTCAGCGACGACACGGTCATCCTTGCCGGGCGCCGCGTCAACTCGCAGGTGCTGCTGTACCGCTGGTGCAGCGATGTCGGCTGCACGGTCACGGGCACGCACCAGGTTGACGACGCAGGCTACGGCACGCGCGTCGGCGTGGACAGCAACGACGACATTGTCATCATGACCAGCAGCGACACGGAGCTCAAGGTCATGCGCTGCGACGCGCCCGAGTGCATGTGGGGCGACCGCCTGGTGAACGCAACCAACAAGGCAAACAGCCCCTACCTGGACATGGTTCTGACGGACCAAGGCCTCCCCGTTGTGACGCACCTGGAGTCGCGCTTCCTGGGCGTGTTCACGTGCGTGGACGACCTCTGCTCCAACTTCACGGGCTCTGAGACCCTGGCCACGGACGACGGCTTCATGTCGTCGATTGTGCTGCGCACGGACGGGCGCGCGGCACTGGTGTGGCGCCAGCAGTCGAGCGGCAAACTCATGTTTGGCCTGTGCGACGACGCCGCGTGCAGCACGATTCAGACGCGCGAGCTGACCAACGGCGGGTACTTCCCCACCATTGACCTGATGGAGGGCGACTGGCTGTACCCAGGCCAGTACCCCGTCATCACCCACCTCAAATCTGTCACGGGCACACGCACAGTGCAGCTTATCAAGTGCACGTCGCTTGACTGCAGCACCAAGGATACAACCGTGCTGCAGAGCACGGGATATGGAGGCGCGTCGGGCGTCTTCTACAACCCCATCAGCCACTACCTCTACACCATGGATGAGTATGGCTCCCAGGCCGATGGCTGGCGCCTCAGCAAGCACTGCATCAACCACTAAACTTGTGTGGCACAAGTAGACTTGGCTGGCTCGTGTTATCTGTTTGATGTGTGTGTGTATGTGTGTGTGTGTGTGAAGGATGGATGGATGTCGAGAGAGAGAGAGAGAGAGCAGAGGAAGCGCAGTGAAGGGGGAGACGGAGGCGATGGAGGAGAGAGAGGAGGAGCCCCGCATGACATGACATGACAGAGAGAGAGAGAGAGAAGAGAGATGGATTGATTGGGAGCGCGAGACAGACAAGACCACAACGTCATCAGCACGGCTGGGGTTGGATCCAGGATCCAGGGCAAGAAGGGTGTCACATCATGTCACACATGTCGCAACTTGCCGGCAAACGCAGGCAGACGAGTTGTGGCACCCGGCAGCTGCTATGCAGCCACTCTCCACTTCAGCCCACAGCAACTGCACTGCTTGATGTGATTGTCGGTGACGTTGCAACCTTGAAACGCATGACCATGATTTGTTACAAGACAGTTGTGTGTGTTGGCGCTTGTGTGTTGGTTGCTTACATTGCTTGCATGTTCCTCGACTTGCATATGTGTGCGTGTGTGTATCTGCCTGTTCTCTCATTTCAATTACTGGGCGTTCTGTCTGTGTGCGTGTGTGTGTATTGGAGTGCACGGGTGGATGGGAAGAAGGCGTCTCTTTCTTCGTTCAAATAAACTCCTCGACAACAACAAGCACAGCAAGGTCGCACGGCTTTGAGAGGTGAGCTGAGGGAAGAGCGAAGCGAGCCAAGGGGGGGGGGTGTCATCAAACACTCAAACAATCTGGCTGGGTGAAGCAATCGTCTTATTTTGATGTGACACACAAACAAACCAACAACGCTGACAACAACGATGACGGATGATGAGGACAGGAGCAACGAGTGCGTGGTGTGTGGCTTGGATGAGGATGTGGCCGTCGTCCCAAAGTGTCACCATGGCATCTGCAAAGAGTGCCTTCGCATGCACGCCAAGTCGTGCATGGATACCAGGCGCCTGCCCGTTCAATGGTGCGTCTTTGTGTGTGTGTGTGTGTGTGTGTGTGTGTGTGTGTGTGTGTGTGTGTGTGTGTGTGTGTGTGTGTGTGTGTGTGTGTGTGTGTGTGTGTGTGTGTGTGTGTGTGTGTGTGTGTGTGTGTGTGTGTGTGTGTGTGTGTGTGTGTGTGTGTGTGTGTGTGTGTGTGTGTGCGTGTGTCGTGTGTGTGTGTGTGTGTGTGTGTGTGTGTGTGTGAATGTGGGTACGCTTGCTCCACTGTGCATGTGTTTCCATCTCTCTCCCCCCCCCCACCTCTGTTCCGCCCCTCCACAGTTCTCCCCTTTTCCTTCCGCTTATCCCCCTGCGTTGCTTTCATCCAATTCGCTGACCTTTGATGGGCAGACATGCACCACAGTCCCTTCGCTGCCACATCTCACTCACCGATCCGTGTTCGCTTGTCACGTTTTCACGCAGCGCGGCGTGCACGGAAGATGTGCCCCTGAACATGGTGCTTGATGCGCTGCCGCCTGAGGAGCAAGATCAGTTGAGCACGGCCATGCTGCGCGCAGCGCTGGAGAAGGACCCGCAGGTCAGGTTCTGCCCCGCACCGGACTGTGGCTACGCCGTATTCCTTGGCGAAGACATGACCTTGTGCCCCTACGCCAGCTGTGACAGGTGCGGGACAGCTTTCTGCACGCGCTGCAAGCACAAAGCACACGGCCGAAACCCGTGTGTCCTCACCGACTTGCCACCCAACACAAAGCCGTGTCCAAAGTGCTTCGCCCCCATCGAGAAGGCGCAGGACGGCTCCTGCAACCACGTCCGCTGCTACGTGTGCAAGTGAGACGGTGGTTGTGTGTGTGTGTCTGTGCGTGCGTGTGTCTGTGAGTGTGTGTGTGTGTGTGCGTGTGTGTGTGTGTGTGTGTCTGTGTGTGTATGTGTGTGTATGTGTGTGCATGTGTGTGCACATGACTATAGTTTGGCTGCGTGCCTCCCCTCTGGGCACTCCCCACCATGACTTTGCCCTCGCGTGTCGACACACACACACACACACACACACACACACACACACACACACACACACACCATCGACACAAACACGCGCGTACATCAAGGACGGACTTTTGCTGGCTGTGCTTGAAGCCGTTGAGCCAGATGGACACCATCAACCATTACGTGGGCATGACCGGCTGTACCATGTTTGGATCCAAGCCCTGGAGCGAGGGCAAGCGGTTGGCCGTGCACCGGAGCAGCCCGCTGTGGGTTCCGTTTGCCATTGGCCTCGGTGCCGTCGCCGTGCCGCTGATGAGCCTCTCCCTCCCTGTTGTTGCTGCAAAGGAGGCCTACAAGGACAACCAAGAAGCAAGCAAAGCTCGCAGGTTGGTGTGTGTGTGTATGTGTGTGTACATGTGTGATTGAATGAGTGTATGTGTGTGCGTGTGTGTATGTATGTGCGTGTGTACATGTGTGGCGTATCTGTGTGTTGCCATCACGGTCATTCACATCGATGACACTCACGTGGCATCCGCACCCGCACACACACACACACACACACACACACACACACACACACACACACACACACACACACACACACACACACACACACACACACACACACACACACACACGCTGCTGTCGAACAGGGTTTGGCGAGGGTTCAAAAGCGGCATCGGCACTCTGTTGATTGGCACACCGGTGAGCAGACGCGATCGTGCGCATTGCGTGCGTGCGTGCATGCAGGACACGATCACTTGCTGTTTGTAACCTTACCGTTCGGCTTTCCTGGCTTTAACACACGCCACGCCACGAACATGTGCCCCTGCCCCGATGACCGCGTTTTGCTTTGTTTTTCTGTTCAGATCCTGGCTGTCGCATACACAGTCGTGGCCCTGAAGGGCGCTTGGTTCGCATACGTCAAGATGCCGTGTCGCGAGGTGAGGTGTTGCTTGTGATGACGACCTTCAGATGAACATTTCAGCTTGCCATGCGCCCCGCTAGTCAGTCACACGCACACACACACACTCACTCACTCACTCACTCACTCACTCACTCACTCACTCACTCACTCACTCACACCCACTCACTCACTCACACGCACACGCATGTGAAGGTGCACAGCTGCTGCCGATCAGGACGGCCTCCTTCAGGCGTGGTGGATCTCACACCACAGAGCGCGTTACCCTCAGGCCACCGCCTCGCCTCTGATTCCGCTGCATGACACTGTGACAGGCTGTTTGTGCGTGGAAAATGGACGATAAATGATTATGCATCTGCTCCATGCATTTGACTGAGCGCTTCAAACATGTGTTGTTGCTCCTTGCTGCCTTGTCATTTGTGCTGCTTTGTTACACTTCGCTCCTGTTGCCTTTTTCCTTGCCCTGCCCTTGTCTTGTCTCTTGCTCTGTCTCTTGCCTTGATCTACGTTTCCCGTGACAATTAAACGACCTGCTGCCATACCACAGACAGAGCTTACTGGTCAAACCACCGCGTACACCCATTTTGGCGGGAAAATCAAAACACAAAATCAAGCAAGCACCTCCACGATGAAACAGAGGGTGCGCCTGTTGTGGCGCTCACACACACACACACGCACACACACACACACACACACACACACACACACACACACACACACACACACACACACACACACACACACACACACACACACAGCAGAGAACTGCTTGGCCTTGAGTTCCGGGTGAGATGAGCCAGCGCGGGAATACAGGTGGCGAGGAGCCTGCTCACGAAGAGGGGTTGCCACCAAGACAGCGGCCACGATTGGGCAGCCCAACCAGCGACGGACACACCGCCACCGAACAAGATGAAGAGCAGGTTGGATTGCTGATGCTCATCGTATGTTTGTGTGGGTGTGTATGTGTCTGTGTGTGATGTGTGTGTGTGCGTCGCCTCTCTGTCTCTCTCTGTCTCTCTCTGTCTCTCTCTGTCTCTCTCTCTCTCTCTCTGTCTCTGTCTCTCTCTGACTCTCTCTGTCTCTCTCTGACTCTCTCCGTCTCTCTCTGTCTCTCCCTGTCTCTCTGTCTCTCTCTCTATCTCTCACAGCAAGAATACCTGCATGCCTCCCACCTCCACTGCGCACAACCATGCTACTGTACACGCCTGTACAGGTCGCCATGAGCCTGTGCTATCAGGGACACATGTTTGGGTTTGCGGCGTATAGTGCGAGGACGGCCATTCTTGAAGCTTACCACGACAAGCTCGACGACGTGCACTGGACCAACGTCAGGTCCATGATTCAGAACAAGAAGCCGACCGTACTTCTGGTCCACGCGTCCATCGAAGCAAAGATCAAAGAGCTGCTCAAAGAGCTGCGCACAGGTGTGATGCTGCTATTCATGTGAAGTGGTTACCCACATTGGCATTTGTTCTCGATTCACTTGATGACGACACTGCTGAATCGACAGCAGCATCCTCGCACAAGACTGCCACATGCATGTTGCGCAAATTACCAACACACACACACCACCCCCCCCCCACACACACACACCCACGCACGCACGCACGCACGCACAAATGATGTACCGATGCAATTGATGCATAGGTGTGGCGCCGGAGGTGATTCGCTTACCAAAGGCAGTATTTGATCACACAAGTGCGGTGCAGCGTGTGGCACAGCTGAAGCTGCCGGAGCTGCAAGACTCGCGCCTGTCTGACACCCACCGCCACCTCTACTTTTCGTTTCTGCAAGGCGACGATACCCTCATGGCGCGCGCTCTTGGTGCCCTCGTGCACCACATTGAGCGAACGCGCTTTGGCGTCGAACTCGATCCCACGGACACCCCAGTCCCCATCGTCACCCTTCAACTCATGGCCCAGTATGTGTGTGTGTGTGTGTGTTTGTGCTTGTATGTGTGTGTATGTGTATTGTGTGCGTGTGAGTGTGCAATTTGGTGTAGTGTGTGTGAATGTGTGTATTCATGGTCTGTCTGTCCTGTGTTGCTGTGATGATGCTCGGTTCGATACTTTCGTGTGTGCACGTGACCCGTTTCCTATGTGACATGCTACCCTTTCGATTGACACGCACCCGCAGGCCAGACTGTATGTTGATCGACGCAGACTCCCTCACGTGCGTCCCCCAGTGAGCCATGAGACTGCCCGCTACCATCGTTTGCTTCGGTTGCTTTGCAAACGCTCTCTTTCACACACACACACACACACACAACACACACAATCAGTCTTGCTCGTACATACGTTCACACCTCATGCCCCTGATCAAACGCATTTACCTCTGTTGTCCTGTGCATGCCTACGTAGGTCACTTGGCGTGTTCAACCGCGAACCACACCCATCGAGCTTCAAGGCGGGTGGCTTCAAGGAAGGGCTGTCACTCTACGGGATTCTGAACAGCACAAAGGTGAGATATCCATGCCCATTGCTGTTTCATGTGGAGTTGGCTTGATCTGCTCAGCACTGCTCAGCAGCCTCGCGATGCTTCACCGCCGTACATCATGTGTGCATGTGCACGTTGCGTCGGCGTTGTGCTGGCGAGCACACTCACTTTCAACACCACAATCTCAAACATCCACAGACAGCAGCGGGTGCAAGGTGCCTCAGACGATGGCTGCAACAGCCGTCCACCAGCGCTGATGAAATTGAGCGCCGTCAGGTTAGATAGTGCCACGTGCGTGCGTGGAATGACGTGGAATCGCACGAAGCCCACCCTTGTCACTTCAGGGTACTCTCAAACACACTCAACACACATACACGTGCGCAATGGCCAGTCTCCTCACCGATGCCATCCGCGTTGGACTGTTGTATGCCGCGTGTGTGCGCGCGCGCGTGTGTGTGTGCTTGTGTGTGCGTGCGTGCGTGTGTGTGTGTGTGTGCGTGTGTGCATGTGTGCGTGTGTGTGCATGTGTGTGTGTGTGTGCATGTGTGTGTGTGAAGGAGGTGGTGGGATACATGGCCAATGCTGCAAACACAGAACTCCTGCAACACATGCGACGCGAGCTTGCGCGTGTTCGCCCTGTCCAGGTACGTCGCTTAGCCCTTACCCTGTTTCGTGCTGTGGTGCCTGTGCTTGGTCCATACTGCATTGCTTGGAAGAGACATGATACAGCCAGCCAGGAAGCACAGTTCTAAGTTACATGCGTGTGTCGACGAAGGAGAGGAGAGTGCGCACCTTCAGATGCACGCAGCTCTCATCTTATGTGCACGTTGTTGGGTTCGTCCCTCTTCTCTTCTCAACGCCACCTCTGCCCACCTACCACCAGCCCATTCTTCGGAGGCTTCGAATGCAATACCCAAAGCTGCAAGACTGGACAACACTGCGCACGGTATGCAAACACTGCGCTGCGAGCACACCACACTCTGAGCTTCGTTTGCATGTGCTTGTCGGCATTGTTGGTGCTTGTTGAGCACTGCGCTGCCTTACTTCTTTCCTTGACAACGGCAGACCTGTCTTCACGCTATGAACCTGAAAGGACTCTGTCAGAAACATCGCCGCGTCAGAAAGTTGGACGAGGTGGGCCAATCCATTCTGATGTTCCGCGCTGCGTTTGGCATGGTCGTACATGCTCGGCTGTGTTGCTGTATTGTTGAATACCATCTGTGTCACAAGGAGGAAGCGTATGTGCTAGTACGTGCATGTACACTCCTCACAGCACCCAATGCAAATCGACTTGGGTCATTCCACATGCTTGTCATGCTCTTCGCGCAGGTGTTCGAGAGCCTGGCTGACGGCATTGGTGACATTGCAGAGGCCATCGCCGCCATTGTGAGTCATAACGAGGAGGAAGAAAAGGTCTAGAGCGACATGGGGAAGAGGAGGAGCAGGAGGTGGAGTAGGAGCAGGAGCAGGAGCAGGAGCAGGAGCAGGAGCAGGAGCAGGAGCAGGAGCAGGAGCAGGAGCAGGAGCAGGAGCAGGAGGAGGGATTGTCGTCGTTGTGTGTGGTCCTTCCTTTCTTTGCAACTCCCTCCTACCCATGTACTGCATGCGACACAGTTTGACGAAGAAGCAAGCAAAGAGCAAGACCGATTCATCGTGCGGCCTCTCATCAGCCCGGAGCTGGACGAAAGTGCGTTTGGTGACAAGTCTACATTTACTTGCTTGCTTGTTTGGTTAGACTTACATGACTTCTTGTGATGGTTTGGCGTGTCAAATCCCACAAGATGAATCCGCTCTGGTGCAACAACCGCTGGCTCGACTGCCTTTGCCGTGGTTACTCACCTGTACTTCGACGTCACAACACATCACCGCTTGTAATATGTGTGCTGTGCACAGAAAAGCGCCAGTTCAACAACCTGGTGAGAACAACACATTGTGTGTGTTGGTGTGTTGGTGTTGGTATGTGTGCGTGAGTGTATGTACGAGCAACGAGCGGTGCTAGGTCTTCACACACATGTGCACACGCACACATGACACACTTACACACACATACACGTACGCACACACCCTGTCCCTCACTCGCTCTCACTCGCTCACACACACACACCCTCACTCGCTCTCTCTCTCTCACATACTCCCGCTTTGCTAGCCCGACTTCCTGACAGCCATCGCCCAGGAGGAGATGCACAACATGCCGCCTGGTATTGCAGAGTATTCCGTTGTCTATCTGCCTCAGGTGAGTCACAACCAAGGGAAAGAGAGAGAGAGAAGAAGAAGAGAAGAAGAAGGCGGTGCTGTTTGATCACATGGAAAGCACATCAGTTGTTTGCTCCAAGGACAACACATTAGCGGGGGCAGTCGTAGTTACATGACACTCAAGAGCGACAGTACGCTGCCTTGCATCCCATGCAATATGTCCTGTGAAACTCTGCTCACCCTAATTCGCTTGTGCATGTTTCTATTTGCGCTTCGCTGTCTTGTTGATATGGTTCAGCTTGGCTTTCTCATTTCCGCGACCCTGGACGCCGAGAGACAGGGCGATCCCACCTTGGACGGCCTCGAGTTCATGGTGCGAAGAAGGTGGCCGGTGGTATGGTGTGGTGGACTTCAAAGTGGTCTGCTGTGCGTCAGGGTGTAGCCCCCCCCTTGACCATTGAGAGTGTAGTGGAGAATCGCCAGCTTCCCTTGCTCTTGGATACAACACCTCACCACGCGTCGTGCGGGTCGTATTGTGTGGTTGAGTGCAGTTTCTGTCGGACGGGCGCCACTTCTTCAAGAACCCTCGCATGCGGCACCTTGACAATGTTGTTGGCGACACGCAGTGCGACATTACAGGTGGGGCATTGTTGTGTACTTGTACTTAGTGAACTCAGTTGAACATCACGCCCGCAGGCCACTATGTGACAACGTTCTGACGGCCCAAAGACGCCACTGCCACAGCAACTACATACCTTCACATACCACCACCACCACCACCACAACCACCACCACCACCACCACCACTACCACCACCACCACCACCACCACCACCACCACATCAACACACCACGCCCCACACACGGCAGACATGGAGAACAGCCTGATGGTGCGACTGCAGGAGAGAATCCTTGACTACACAGCCCAGCTGCTTCGCGTGCATGATGCAGTTGCAGAGCTGGATTGGTGAGACAATGCAGTGCACTGTGGTGGAGGAGGAGGCGGCGGAAGGCAGCGAATGTGCTCTGCTTGCGTGTGGGCACATGATTGTGGAAGGAGCATTGATCATTGACTCATGTTGTGTCATTCTATGGTTGCTTTGATCGGTTTGTACGCGTGTATCACGGACCGTAGCCTGTTGTCCATGTCGCTCGCAGCTGTTGAGTTCAGCTGGGTTCAGCCAGGCGTGCGGCATGGCAAAGGCATTTCCATCCACGCTGGCCGGTGAGTTGGTGTGAGAGATGAGTGGGAGTCCGAGTGCCTCTCTGCATCTCCCTGCGCACGCATGACCGCATATGTGCGTGCAAGTGCGCAGGCGCGTGCCTGCCTGCCTGAGCTTGAAGGAAGCCTTGTAATGTTGGAGTTTGTTACATTGTGTAGTGAGGTGTTCCAGCCTTTTTGTTTGTTTGAACACATGACCACCATTGCACAAACATTGTTGTGTTTGTCAGACATCCGCTGCAGGAGCTGTGTGTTTCACCATTCATCCCAAACCACACTCGGCTGGCCATTGACGATGAACCACATGCCATGCTCCTCACTGGGCCCAACGGCAGCGGCAAGGTAAGCCGATACTGGTAAATGTGCTAATGTGGTTTGATTCGTGGAGGGGGCGGTGGCTTTGTTTGTCGTGGCGATATAGCGAACCGACACGGCCTCCTGTTTACCTGCCTCTCGCACGACAGTACTCTCAACCCATGGTGTGTGTATGTGTGCTGGCATGCGTGCTTGCGTGCGTGCTTGGATGCGAATGTGAGCAGTCCATCTACCTTAAGCAGATTGGGCTTATTGTCGTCTTGGCTCAAGTTGGGAGGTGAGGATGGCAGTGTCATGCATGATTTGTTCCAATCAATCCCATGATGCTGGCTTTTGTTGCCTTGTGCACCCGTAGCACTTTGTCTGTTTCGATGCGCTCATCCCACAAACCTTTGGACCTCTGCTGTAGCTTTGTGCCTGCCGAGTCTGCTGTGATTGGGATTGTAGATCGACTCTTCACCCGCATTCAAACGCGCGAATCCGTGAGCACAGGAGCACCACACTACAGGGTGTTTGTGGTGTGCATGTGTGCTCGTGTGTGTGTGCATGTGGGATGCGTGTGTCATAGTGTGCCGAGCGTCTCCGTGCTACGACCACTCTACAACTGCTTGTGTATGTGTGTGCACGTGTTAATGGGGAACACGTTTGGTTCCTTTCGTGCTTTCTCGATTGCAGGTGTCGCTGGACATGTCAACATTTCTCATTGACACCAACCAAGTGGCCACGGCGCTCAAATATGCGAGTCCATACAGCCTTGTCCTCATTGACGAATACGGCAAGGTGAACGCAAATGCACGCATGTGTGTTTGTCGTGTGTGTGTGTGATGTGGTGTGTGTGGTGTGGTGTGGTGTGTGTGGTGTGGTGTGTGTGTGTGTGTGTGTGTGTGTGTGTGTGTGTGTGTGTGTGTGTGTGTGTGTGTGTGGTGAGTTGAACGGTGCCGCGAGGGACAGTTGGAGAACATTTCATGATGAGAGTCAGGAGAGTGGGTTGTTGGGTGGTTGTGGGTGCGTTGAGCACCGGGTGCTTCAGAGTGCATGGCATTGAATCTGGTGCCGCCGTCACTCCACTTGGTCCAATTTCACTGCGTTGTACATGGCGCACTGTAGGGGACAACCAAGGAGGATGGTGTCGCACTCGCTGTCAGCACCATCAAGCATTTGATGGAGCGGCCGGCCCTGGATCCGCCCATGCTGGTGTTTACGACGCATTTTCTCGACATTCCCAAGCAGCAGCTGGTTGCGGAGTCTGCGCACTTGCGCTACTTTCGCATGGCCTCGCTCGATCAAGCACAGCACCAGGATGACGATGACACCGCCGACATTGTCCTTCTCTACCAGGTTGTGCATGTGTGCGTGTGTGTTGGTGTGTGTGTGCGCGTGTGTGTTGGGTGTGTGTGTGTGTGGACGTGTGTGTGTGTGGATGGATGTGTGTGTGTGTGTATGGACGTGTACGTGTGTGTGTGTGTGGACGTGTGCGTGATCAAGTGTGGACGGTGATTGTGCAGGCAAGCCACACTATCCTCCTCTGTTGCGTGACGCTCTGGTACATTTCTTCTGCTGTCAGGTGCAACCTGGGGTGTCAGGCAGCTCGCACGCCCTTCGCGTCGCAGCGCAGGCGGAGCTTCCGATCGACGTCATCGAACGTGCACAGCAGGTGCGTGTGTCTGTTGGAACAGGTGCACGCACAGGTGCACGCACAGGTGCACGCACAGGTGCACGCACAGGTGCACGCACAGGTGCACGCACAGGTGCACGCACAGTCGCATACACACACACACACACACACACACACACACACACACACACACACACACACACACACACACACACACACACACACACACACACACACACACACACACACACACACACAGGTCTCTGAGGCGATGCACAGGAACCTACCCATCGCTCCGCTGCAGTCCATGGCTGCGAAGCAGGATCTTGCTGCGTGTCAACGCGTGTGTGAGGCGTTTCTGGCACTGGATCTCAAATCCGCGACACTCCAAGCGGACTTGAAACGCATTTGCGCTGCGAGCCGTGCTGTGTGAGACGGGCCCAAGCAACAGCCTTCAACAATAAAAATTGTGAAAAATCTGTCTGTTTGGCAACCAAACAACCCCATCATCATCACCAAAGACGCGCACACCACAACCAACCAAGCACACTCTCCACAACAGCCCATTCAACAGCAACAACAACAGCAACAACAACAGCAACAACAACAGCAACAACAACAGCAACAACAACAGCAACAACATCAGCACATCCACCCTTGCTCCAGCCATGGAGGAAAGCATCTACAACTTGATCCCGCGGGAGGAAGTGGCGCCGCCAAAGCAAAAGCGGTGTGTGTCGTGTGGGTGTCGTGTTCGTGTGATGGTGATGGGTGAAACAGCACTTGAGTTGTGTGTGTGTTGGCTGTCGATTGCGTGCAATCATGTGCTTGGTGATGGATGATCTCTGGTATGATATCTGGTGCGTGTAGACTCACCGCCTTGGACGCTTTGCGTCAATATGTGTGCGCGCGCGTTACCTGGGTGCTGGTACAGCTATGTTTCACAGCATGCCAACAAGGCGCGGCAGGAGTACAAGTCAAAGAAGGAGGCTGGGCGGACCATGGTGAGGCATCTTCTTACCTTTGCACTGCAACGCAGTGCGCTTGCAGTTTGATGCTTCCAAGTCTGCTGGTGAAATAGGTCTTGTACAGTCGCGGGTGCGTGTCTCACCTCAAATGTGCTCACGAATGCTTGTGGTGTTGTGGTGCTGTGTTGGCTGTGTTGCTGTGTTGTTTTGTTCGCATGCTTGCACGTTGCCAGGGCCCGCCGGCAGTCCAGGCAGGCGACACATCGAGGTTCTTGAAGCGCGGCGAGGGCAAGGGCGGTGGCCGCGTGCAGCGTGCGGCACCGCAGAAGCGCGAACAGGCAAAGAAGCCAAAACCGCGCGTGCCAAAGGCGACGGAGAAGCCGCCCATGGGCCTCCGCACCAAGAAGGACTTTATCAAGGATAACGCTGTCAAGACCATGACCACACAGCCGCCAAGGACAAAGCCAATGAGTGAGTGTGTACATATTGTGTGTGTGAGTGTGTACATATTGTGTGTGTGTGTATGTGTGTGTGTGATCGTGTGATTGCGATCATGTGTGGTTTACATAGCAAATACGTGCGTTTGTTTTGGCGCTGCACCATGCACTCAATGTCTCTCACCCCCCCCCCCCCAAACACACACACACACACACACACATCTACGTTGTAGTGCTGGATACGGCGGCAGGCAAAGGGCAGAAGATGGACTTGGAGGAGAGCGGGCTGGTGCCAAAGTACACGAAGAAGAAGACGTTTGGCAAGACACCTGCATATTTGACCAAGCGCAGGGAAGAGGAGGATCGTGCGCAAGCAGAATACGAGGAGTATGTCCGCGCCATGCAACAGCAAGGCGCATACTATGAGGTGCGTGCGTGTGAATGTGTGTTTATGAGCATGTGTGTATATGATTGAGAGTATGTGTGCGTGAGCACGCGTGTGGGTGCACTCTCGGGTAAAGTGCGCTCGTGTGCGTGCGTGAGTGTTCGTATTTGTTTGTTGTTTGTTTTGGTTCGCGTTGATGAGGACTCCTGTTGCCCTTTTGCCCGGCTTTACTCATCACTCAACTGCCCACGCGTGCACCCCCCCCCCTTGCGTCTGTCGATATATATCACCGCAGGTCTCACAGCAAGAGCGCGACGAGCTGCTGCACGGGCTGAAGACCAACTGGGAACAGCTGCATAAGGAGTATCAGGGCCTGTCTGTGATTGCGGACACGGCGCCAAAGCGCCAGCGCCGCAACGACATGGAGGCGCGCCTTGCGCAGCTTGAGGCCGACATTGCCAAGATTGAACGCCACTCCACCATCCTCGTCGCACAGTAGTTACAACGCCCCCAGACCCGTGTTTGTGTCTATTTGTGTGTGTGTGTGTGTGTGTGTGTGTGTGTGTGTGC